ATCCCAGTGGACAAAAGAAGAGAAAATCCCCATTTCAGCAATACTGTTCGTATCACTACAACCTGCATCTCCAGAAGAGATAGGCCAATGCCATAATAAACCCTTGAGGCGCATCTTATGTGCAATTAAACCAAAAATATATCATTTTAAAACAGCGGAGGATTCAATGTCTTTCTAAAATTAAGCCATTTAGAAGTTTTCACAACCATTATATATACACAGAAATATTTCTATGCCATCATAAGAAGATTTTCTAAGTATTAAGACATTCAGGCACTGTATCACAGGAGAAGGTTTCATTACTATAAATTTGATGGATTTAAGAAGAAAACTGACTGCAATAATAAAAATAGTTTGCTATTTTTCTGTCATTAAAACAAATGAAAAAATCTCAAGACTAAAGATTTCCAGTGGTAAACATCTTGTCTTTACAGAATACAGTTACTTCCCTGGCAAAACTTCAGAGAAATCAAAGTGAGCAGTAATCTACTCAAACAGATTATTTGACAACCAGGTTTATAAACTATTTATACAATATTATATATTACAAATGTAGAGGGATTTTAAAACATTAAATTTTAAACATGTCTTAGTGAAGCAAATTTTTTAAGTTGTAGAAAATACCTCTCTTCCTCCTTCAGTAGCTAACAAGCTTATCATCATTTTTGTCTCACCTTCTGCTTCATGAACAACCACCTCTGTGTCCTCCATGTTTGGTAACAAACTACTGTTAAAACTTCCTAGACAGCTTTCACCTGTATTTAGCCTGAAGATGCTGCTCCTATTTCAGGTCTGGAGAAGGAACTGTGTATCTGAAAGCTTTTCCAGCCATTGTCTATCCTTTTCCCAGACAACAAAATACACTTTTTCTATGCTTCTTTCATTAGATTATTATTAAAACAATGACTTACCTACCCTGCACTTTATACACATGAAATGCCTGCATATGTGAGATAGGAGATCAATGGAAGTGTTTGAAACTCTGAGTTTGTTGCTATAAACAAAAGCACTCAGACGTCACTGGATACCATAATTAACGAAACTACTTTAGATTTTTGAACACAGTTAAAAGAGGAATTAAAAACCCAATAAAAAGTCTCTCACATATTCTGTTCAGCCTTTTCTTTCTTTGTTTCTTCCATATTTTGATTTCCCTGAGGACTACTTACATCTGAAACGGAGACCTGCTGGAATACAAAAAGATCCATCTGAAACGGTAAATTTTTCTATCTCTTCTGCTTCAATAAAGTATTATTTTATTAGACATACACATGAAAAAGATCTGATTAAAAATAATCAAAACTGTGTATTTATCAGAGGATAGTTACAGATCAGAAACAAGGAGATATCCTAATGATTCACCTGAGCATCTTCTTTTTAAGTCACCATTATGGGATTTTAGTTTCAAATTCATATCCATATAGTGCCCTGGATATATACTCTGCTAACCTCATACCCACTAGGTGAAGATGAAAAGGTGGAAACAACCCTATTATACACGAACTATCCACAAAGAAAGAAACTGAAACAAGTGCAGGATTTCATAAATGCCACAGATTCACTATAGTAAAGCACTGCAGAATTGAGACCACAATACATTTGTTTCCAACCCCATTAACAGCACTGAATCCAGAGGCAAGTAAACCAACGGCAATGCAATTCACACCTCAGCATAACAGCTCTTAGCCAATTTCAAAGAAAGAATACTTGTTATCCATGACAAATGATGCAAAAAACGAAAGGCTCGTTTACAGATCCAGACTGAATCTTCAGACAGAAGCAAAATAAACATCTTGATTTTTTAAAAAAAAATTAATGCAATTTTATGTATATATATCTATTTATATGTGCACAGACATATTTAGCTTTTAGAAAAAATAATCAGTGCATGGAAAATGAGGTGGTTGGTTACAGTCAACACTGTCTCACTAAGAGTAAATTGTACCTGACAATTTTGATGACCTTCTACAACGGGGTTACAGCAGTGGTGGATGAGAGAAGAGCAACAAAGATCATCTACCTGGATTGTGCAAAGCATTTGACACTGTCCTGCACAACATCCGTGTCTCTAAACTGGAGAGATGCTGGAGTTGATGGATAAGCCGCATGGTGGATAAGGGATTGGCTGGATGGTCACCCTCAAAAGAGTTGCAGTCAACAGCTCAATGTCCAAGTGGAGACCAGTAATACCATCCACCGGAACCTTGACAGGCTTAAGCTCAACATGACCCACTGATGTGTGCTTGCAGCCCAGAAAGCCAAACACATTCTGGGCTGCATCCA